AACCTCTTCTATCCTCCGTGGGCATTGCACGACACGGGTGCACTTACCTACACACAGGCAATACATGCATACACATAAAATAAATTAATGGGCAGCCTGGGATACATGACATGCTGTCTCAAAAGAGGGGAGAACATGTACCTCAGTTGGTAGGGTGCTTGCCTCAGCATAAAGGAAGCCCTAGATTCAATCCCTAGCACCACACGACTCGGTGTAGAGGCATACAACTATAGTCCTAGCACTCAGGAGATAGGAGACAAAGGGTCATCCTCAACTGCAGTGAAAGTTTGAAGTAGGTTTCAGATAAATGAAACTATTTCTAAAAACAAGGCTTTTTATTGTATCTGGTCATAAAATGAAAACTAAAAAGTCTGGGGAAGGGCTACCAAGATGGCTCTTTCCTAGAAACCCTGGCAATCTAAATTTAATAACCAAAACCTAAGTAAAGGTGGAGAGATCTGACCCCACAAAGTTGTCCTCTGGCCTCCACTTGTACACTATGGGATACATACATCCCCACAATGATACAACAATAATAAACAAAATTTTAATATTTTATTATTTTTATTTTAGGGGTATGAGTGTACTGCCTGCATGTATGTAAGCACACTTGTGCCATCCAATGCCCACAGAGGTCAGAAGAGGGCCTCGGATCCCCTGGAACTGGAGTTATAAACGGTTGTTAGCCATCATGTGGGTGCTGGGAACTGAACCAGGGTCCTCTGCAAGAGCAGTCAGTACTCTTAACCACTGAGTCATCCCTCCAGGCCCATAAAAAAATTTTATTATTATTAAAAAAAAAAAAAAAAACCTGGGGATCATAGTTCAGTTGGTCAAGGACCTACCTTGCAAGTATGAAGACTTGGGTTTGGAGTCCCAGAACTCAAAGAGCCAAGAGCTAGGTAGGCACTTATAATCCAGAGTGAGAAAACAGAGACAGGAAGCTTCCTGGAACTTGCTAATCAACTAATCTGCCTAGAAGAATCAGTGAGCTCCAAGTTCAATGAAAGACACTGTCTCAAAAAGTATGATGGAGAGTGATAGAGGAAAACACCTAATGTCGACTTCTGGCCTGCGTGCATGCACACACGCGCACACACACACACAATTGCACACCAAAAAGAGTTCTGCACTATATCTGAAAACTAGAAAGCACTTAATAGTTATATAAAAATATTCATAACAACAAAAAAAAGATTTTGTGGGACACTTAATAGACCCAAAGTAGGTTTTTTTTGTAGATGTTTAGAGTACTCAAGTCTATAGTGTAATATGTATTTATCAGGCCTTTTAATACATTAGCAAAATACATCTTTTTTATTTATTATTTTTATTTTATGTGTATGAGTGTATTGCCTGCATGTATGTGCACGCACCCATGTCATACAATACCGCAGAGGTCAGAAGAGGGCATCGGATTCCCTTGGAACTGGAGTTATGGATGGTTCATAGCCATCATGTGGGTGCTGGGAATTGAACCCAGGTCCTCTGCAAGAGCAGTCAGTGCTCTTAACCATTGAGACATCTCTCCAGCCCCCAAAATACATTTATAACTCTGCACATGTGCATTTTAATCTTGCATGCCAAAAATAATAATAAATAATTCTTGTGCACAATAGAAATAAAGAGGAAGAAAAAAAAATATTCATAACAAGAGTCAGTCATGGTAGTGCACACCTTTAATCCCAGCATTCGGGAGGCAGAGGCAGGCGGATCTCTGTGAGATCAAGGCCAACCTGGTCTACATAGTTGAGTTCCAGGCCAGCTGGGGCTATAGGAAGACCCTGTCTCAAAAAAATTTTTGTTTGTTTTAAATATATTTTGGGGAGGGGCTGGAGAGATGGCTCAGCTGTTAAGAGCACTGACTGCTCTTGCAGATGACCCGGGTTCAAGTCCCAGCACCCACATGGCGGCTACAAACCGTCCTTAACTCCAGTTCCAGGGGAATCCAACACTCTCTTCTGACCTCCATGGCATTGCACAACATGGGTGTGCTCACATACATGCAGGCAATACACTCATAAGCATAAAATAAAAATAAATAAAATACAAAAATAAATAAATATATTTATAATAAATGCATCTCCATGTAACTAACACTGGTATAAGCAATACATTTTTTTTTTTAAGCAGTAAAGGCAGCTTAGAGGTAGAGCACATACTTAGCTTAGAAGAGAACTTAGTAGGATCAATCCCTAGCACCAGAAAATAAGCAAACAAGTAAATAAGTAAATAAAAGCAGTAGATTCTCCAGCAACATTACGAAAGATAAGTATTTCTAGATTAAATATATGGACTGCAATCACTCATGGTTTCTGAGTAAGGAAAAGATAACAAAAGTACTTCAGATTTGTAAGGTGAATTACACTTTAAAAGTATTTCCAAGGGGTTGGGGATTTAGCTCAGTGGTAGAGCGCTTGCCTAGCAAGTACAAGGCACTGGGTTTGGTCCTCAGCTCTAAGAAAAATAAATTAATTAATTAATTAATTAATTAATAAACAAAAGTATTTCCAAGACTACTTTAAACCCAGCACTCGGGAGGCAGAGGCAGGTGGATCTCTGTGAGTTCAAGGCCAACTGGTCTACATAGTGAGTTCCAGGCCAGCTGGGGATACAGGCAGACCCTGTCTCAAAAAAAACAAACAAACAACAAAAAAAAGTGAGAGCTTGCTGTGGAGAGATGGTTCAGCAGTTAAGAGGGCTGACTGCTCTTGCAAAGGACCTGAATTTGATTCCCAGAACCAACATGGCTGCTAACAACCATTCGTTAACTTCAGTTCCAGGAGATTCATTGCCATCTTCTGACCACCCCGGGCCCTGCACTTACATACATGTAAGCAATACACTTATACACATAAAAACAATAACTAAAAGTATGAGGACCTGAGTTCAAACCCCCAGTACTCATGTAAAAAGTCAAGTATAACCACACACTCACCTGTAACCCCAGTACTGGGGTAAGAGGGAGGCACAAAAGAAACAAAGATCACTGGGGCTTGCTGACCACAAGTTGAGTTCCAAGTTCGGTGAAACCCTTGTCTCAAGAGTATAAGGCAGAGTGACAGACCAGAATACCAGAAATCCTCCTCCATCTTCCATGTATTTGTATGGGTACATGCAAACACACACACACACACACACACACATACCACAGGATTTCCATATCTCTTTTGGTGGTTTTTTTTGGGGGGGGCGGGGCGGGGTGAGACAGGATCTCATTATGCAGGCCTGGTTGGCCTCAAACTCACAAAGATTCACCTGCCTCTGCCTCCCAAGTGCTAAGATTGAAGGCATGTGCAACCATGCCTGGCCTCCATATTTTTAAAACATTTTATTTATCTATGTGTACATGCGTCTGCCTGTTTATGTATATGCGGATGTGAACATGAATGTGGGTGCCAGCAGAGGCCAGAAGAGGATGCCAGATCCTCTGCAGTTGGAGTTTCAAGTGGTTGTAAGCCACCAGATGTGGGTGCTGAAAACTATCTGCAAGAGCAGCAAGTGCTATTAACCGAGTTGTCTATCCAGCCCCAGCATCTCTTTTTCCCATCTCTGTTTATGCCCCACTGTCCTCATTTAGTAGCTAAGAGAGCAGATCACATAACCTTATGGCAAGCCCACAGCTCAGGCGGAGTGGAGTCTAGGTCCTACCAAGCTTCTTTTTATGAAGTACAGGAGCTAGCTATCATGATCCAGGACAGTTTAGTGAAGCAACAAAAATCTTCAATAACACAACATGTACAGAGGATTTTTAAAATCCATTAATTCTCTCCTATCAGTCAATAGCAACAGCACATCTGGCAAAATGCTAACTCAGAGAGTTAGAGATACTCCTCCTCAGCTCCCCCTCAGCTCAGCTGACTCAAAAGGGCATATTCCACAAGAAGTATTTTGTTTTGTTTTTTA